CTGTCGCTGCTATTTCTACAGTTTTGAAAGTTGTTTGCTCTGCACTAGCTGCTTATTTGGGTGATATTTCAGTCATCGTGGGTCTTTGATGGGAGTTAAAGACAAGATAGTTGTACCATTTCCTTTGTTTCTAAATTTATCAAATACACTTACAAAATAGATATAAAGTTTATAAAGGTTCAGATACATAAAAGCTTAAGTTGTTATGTGAGAAAACATTTTAAAGTTTAAAAATATATTTTAGGTTGTTAATACAAGTTATGATAGAAAGTTGTTTAGGTATATAACATTGAATTCACCAATCTAGGATATATATTGAAGTATTTCCTCCAATTATGCCAAATACTAATGGTCTAGACAGTGTGAATGTAATTCTTACTTGATAATTGTTCTTATTTTATGTGGTTTTACTGTGTTAGAACTGTTCTTTTTTATATATTTATTTATTATGTCTACAATATTCTGTCTGTGTGTGTGTCTGCAGGCTAGAAGAGGGCACCAGACTTCATAACAGATGGTTGTGAGCCACCATGTGGTTGCCAGGTATTGAACTCAGGACCTTTGGAAGAGCAGGCAATGCTCTTAATCACTGAGCCATCTCTCCTCCCCAGAACTGTTCTTTTATATTTAGAAAAAATGAGGAAATATTGTGAGATAATCATTCTGTACACTGTGACAATATGTCTGTACTAAAGCACCTTCTTATTGGTTTAATAAAGAGTTGAACGACCAATAGCTGGAGAGGATAGGCAGAACTTCTGGCAGAGATAGGAACATTAGGGATGAGACAGGTGGAACTAGTGAGTGAACCGTGGGAAAGTAGAATGCGCAGAATAGAGAAGAAGAAAGGAACCATGTGGCAGAAATTAGATTAAAACAAGTAAATTAAGCCGGGCGGTGGTGGCACATGCCTTTAATCCCAGCACTCGGGAGGCAGAGGCAGGTGGATCTCTGTGAGTTCGAGGCCAGCCTGGTCTACAAGAGCTAGTTCCAGGACAGGAACCAAAAGCTACGGAGAAACCCTGTCTCGAAAAATCAAAAAAAAAAAAAAAACAAGTAAATTAATTTAATTTATAAGACTTAATTGGGAACGTTTAACCTAAGGTCAAACATTCATAATTAATAATGAGTTTTCATGTCACTATTTTTGAGCTTGTTGACCAAAGAAAGTCCAAAAAGAAAGACTTGCTATAGTATGCAACAATATTTATTGAGTAATATAAATTGTATTTTTCAAATAAATGAGAATTTTTGAAGTCAAATTTTAAAAATCTTTCAAGGTACTTAAATATTTGAAGTCTACTATTTTTATGGCTCTGTATTGATAATTATTATTATCTTGGAATGCTAATGTTTTGATCATTGATTTTATTCAGATAAAGAATAATTTTAATATCAATATCATAATATTTCTCATGTATTTAATAGTTCATTTACTTTTTTATATCTTAGTTAAAATGTTTTATGACAGTTAAAATTTTAAATAAAAATTTTCTTAACTTTCACAGTACATTGAACTTCAATGAGAAATCTAGATATTCTCAACTATAAATACATCTCCTTCAGCAGGAGATCAAATCTGCTACATGAAGAGGGTTCTGTTAGTTAATTCCAAGTGACTAGTTCATTTGCTAAGCACATATTTTGTAGCACAACAATATTTGTAACTGAAGATAATTAGAGATGAGACATTACATGTTCATTTATGTCAAATCATATAGCACATATTTTGCTTATCTCAGACTTCAGCAGATTTCTCAATGAATTAATAGAAGCACTTACCTTCGACTTCAGAAGATTTCTTGTTGAATTTATAGAAAATAGTTCAGTGCCAAAATATATGTACTTCGGTGTCCTTTAGAATATTTCTATAAATAAGATCCCATATGTTATTCAATTAAAAGATCTTTTCCTCTGAGAACACAAGTGATATTTTAGCAACAAGGTCTCCTTCTGTGCTTTTAAGTCATGGACATGAATACTCTTGTGATGTATCCAGCTACATGTACCACCCCATATGGCAATATTCAAGAACTCACAACTGTTTGTTTTTATTACTTGCTTTGTAAAATAATCATACCTCCTAATTATATTGGAGAAATCATTGCATCATTCATATTGAATATGTATATTTTGTTACTCTATTTAAGCCATAAAAAAGAGATAAAAGTCCTTACAGTGAGTGGAAGTCTTAAAACTTAGAGATATATAGCTGGCAGCATTTTACAGATAGCTGTTTTGTTAGGTACAAATCATAAGTGGTTCTTCTGAAAGATCAAATTGGAGGAAGATCAGAAAAGAAGAGTAAGGAAAGAGATACTTTGATGGAGGAGCCATTATGTGGTTCGGAGAAATCTGGCACTAGGAAATTTCCCAAGAATTCACAAGGATGACCCCAGCTAAGACACTAAGCAATAGAGGACGGGGTGTCTAAACTGGCCTTCCCCTGTAATTAGAGTGATGACTACCTTAATTGTCATCATAGAATCTCTATCTAGAACTGACGGGAGCAGATGCAAAAAATCACAGCTTAAGCCCTCGGCTGAGATCCTAGAGTCCAGTTTTTGAGAGGGATGAACAATAATATGAGCAAACGGGTCAAGAACATGATGGGAAAACCCTCTGAAACATCTAACCTGAGCAAGTGGGAACTCACAGACTCTGGACTGACAGCTGAAGAAACTGCATGTGACAGAACTAAGCCCTCTGAATATGGGTGACAGTTGTGTGACTTGGAAAGTTTGTGGGAACACTAGCAGTTCAAACCAGTATTTATCACTACGGGGTGAACTGCTTTTTTTTGGAGCCCCTTTACTATGGAGAGATACCTTGCTCTGTTTCTATACAGGGAGGAGGACCTTAGTACTACCATAAGTGATGTGACAGACTTTGTTGACACCCAATGGGAGGCCTCACCCTCTCTGAGGCTTGGATGGAGAGGAGCAAGGGTAATGTGGTGAGAGTGGGAGGAGGAGAGTGAGAGGAATCTGGGATTGTTGTGTAAAATAAGATTGTATTAAAAATAAAAACAAAACAGAAACAACCAAAAAAAAAAAAAAGCTATGCTGGACTCAGTTCTTTTGTGTCGGAGAATCCCTTCCCAATCTCCCTCAGGTTTTATGTGGATATAGTTGCTAAATATTGGGTGTCATCTGTCAACAGAAGTTTCTGTCTTGCTTGGTTCAGCAGCCTAAATTATTACTAAGTAAACACACGTCAGCTTATATTAATTATAAAATGTTTGGCTTTTTATCTCAGGATTTTTACCTCATGGTTTGGTGCTTTTCCCAAGAAGGTATTCTCATCTGGCTTCCTCTGTGTCTGGCTGGTGACATCACTTCTACCTTTCCTTTATTCAGAGTTCTCCTAGTATGGTCACCCTCAGCTATATTTCCTCCCTGCCTACTGGCCAATAAGCATTTTGTTAAACCAATAAAAATGACAAATCTTTAGCATAAACATTATCCAACAGTAATACTCAAGTTTTTATTTTTAACATTATGTAATAGAATTGTCTGGACAAGGCAATTATACCAACAATATTAAATTTTATTTTTTTTCACAATAAGATTTTTATTCAAAGAAATTTAAACAAACTCCAACCACTCATTTAATACATTGGTCAACCTACAAGTGACATACTATGGTGTATTGCTTAGACTTTTTAAAATTTATTTATTTTATTAAATATTTCTGCCTCCTCCCCGCCTCCCATTTCCCTCCCACTCCCCCCCCCCCCCCATTCCTCTCCAGTCCAAAGAACAGTCAGGGTTCCCTGCCCTGTGGGAAGTCCAAGTCCTCCCCCCTCCATCCAGGTCTAGGAAGGTGAGGCATCCAAATAGACTAGGCTCCCACAAAGCCAGTACATGCAGTAGGATCAAAGGATCAAAACCCAGTGCCATTGTCCTTTGCTTCTCAGTTAGCCCTCATTGACCGCCACGTTCAGGGAGTACGGTTTGATCCCATGTTTTTCAGTCCCAGTCCAGCTGGCCTTGGTGAGCTCCCATTAGATTAGCCCCACTGTCTCAGTGGGTGGGCACACCCCTCGCGGTTCTCCCTCCTTCTGCTCCTCATTTGGACCTTGGGAGCTCAGTCCAGTGTTCCATTGTGGGTCTCTGTCTCTATCTCCATCCATCACCAGATGAAGGTTCTATGGTGATATGCAAGATATTCATCAGTATGGCTATAGGATTGGGCCATTTCAGGCTCCCTCTCCTCAGCTGCCCAAGGAACTAGCTGGGGACATCTCCGTGGACACCTGGGAACCATCTAGAGTCAAGTCTCTTGCCAACCCTAAACTGGCTCCCTTAATTAAGATATCTCCTTCCCTGCTCCCATATCCACCCTTCCTTCATCCCAACCATCCATTTCCCCAAGCTCTCCCCATCCTCCCCTTCTCACTTTTCTCTCTCCATCTCCCATTACCCCCATCCTACCCCCACCCTCAAGTACCCAATTTTTTGCCCGGCAATCTTGTCTACTTCCAATATCCAGGAGGATAATTGTATGTTTTTCTTTGAGTTCACCTTCTTATTTAGCTTCTCTAGGATCACGAATTATAGGCTCAATGTCCTTTATTTATGGTTAGAAACAAATTATGAGTGAGTACATCCCATGTTCATCTTTTTGGGTCTGGGTTACCTCACTTAGGTTAGTGTTTTCTATTTCCATCCATTTGCATGCAAAATTCAAGATTTTGCCAACTTGACACCAGTTATCTGGAAAGAAGAATATCATTTGAGAAAAAATCTAACATTAATGTGGGCCTATAAGCAAGTTGAAGTAGCATTTTCTTGGTTAATCACTGGTGTTGGGTGGGACTTAAGGGCTGGGCCGCTGTGATCCGCGCTGGGCGCTGTGTAGTTCGTCCCTCTTGCCCCTCGGGTCCTTGCTCCTGGCTCTGAGGGCGGCCGATGGCGTCCCCTGCCGAGCGGTGCCGGTGAGGGTGCGGAGGAGGCGCACAGCGGGAGGAGGAGCCATGAGCCTGGCACGGAGTGGCCATGGCCATGGCGTATGCCTATCTCTTCAAGTACATCATCATCGGCCACACAGGTGTTGGTAAATCGTGCTTATTGCTACAGTTTACAGACAAGAGGTTCCAGCCAGTGCACGATCTCACAGTTGGTGTAGAGTTTGGTGCTCGAATGATAACGATTGATGCGAAACAGATAAAACTCCAGATCTGGGATACCGCAGGGCAGGAGTCCTTTTGCTCTATCACAAGGTCATATGACAGAGGTGCAGCAGGGGCTTTACTAGTGTATGATATTACAAGGAGAGACACGTTCAACCACTTGACAACCTGGTTAGAAGATGCCCGTCAGTATTCCAATTCCAATATGGTCATCATGCTTATTGGAAATAAAAGTGACTTTTTTTATTACTTCACTGCGGTGGTACCCACCATGCAAAGATAGTTCTGAATTGTACACATAAGCAGCTTGCACATTCTACCCTGTTTTTAGTTTTAGTTCCTGCCTCCAGATTTCCACTCTTTTAATTCTAGAAGTTATAGTCATGAATTCTCTCCCTGATAGAGTGTGACCTGAGACTTATAAATGGAAGTAAACCTTTTCATCTCTATGACCATTTTGGTTATGTTATTTTTTTTACAGCAAAGAAACCATAAATAGGACAGATGGTGACTTTAAATTTATTTATTGTTCATGATACTATTTGTCCATAAAATATAAATGCCTTATTAATATTTTTGGTATATGTCATATGGTTTACACAAATAAAATTATTCCTTCTTTATTCAAAATTATATGACAATCTTAAATGTAAAACAATAGAAATATTAAATAATAAATGCTGTAACATATTAAAATTTGAAATCACAAAATCCTTTAGAAATTTATCATATGAGTTCAAACTAAAAAAGAAACTCTATTCAACATTATTCTTTATGGTAAAACCATTATATATCAATATACAAAAAATCACAATGGAGATTGCTCTGGGGTAAATATGAAATGATTATTCTTTGGAATTAAAATTTTGAACATAAGATTCATTTTGTCTCCATATTTCCAAATAAAAACAGTATAATTGTGTCTTAGAAAATAATTCCAAATTGGCAAACTGTCAAATGGTAGCTTATTTAATATCAAAATTGCCAGATTCTCACTGAAGACTAATGATAGAATTACTGAATAATTTTGCGGTCACTGATAGTGTAATGGTCTTTATTTTGACACACAACCCCGATTACAGATGGAGCTGAAATATTTCTCAGTGGATCGGTTAACAGCAGAATGGGAGGGGAAAACTGCTCAATTCAATGATCCACCTTTTATGTATGAATAGAAATGGCCAGAAATATAATGAATTCAGTCTTTTAGATGCTTGCTTCATCCCACCACTCCTCTGCATGTTTGGAATGTTTCCTCTCTCTAGGAATCTGCCAATATAGTTATGTTCCTTGAAGAAAAATGGTTTTCAAGTGTAATGTACTTACTACATAAAAGCTCATAACTCAATGTAAAGTATGAAGTTTTAAAGGCACCAAGTATTTCTAAAACTACATATCACATAAATAGGTAAGAAATGTGCATTTTTCTTAAAGATATGCTTAGATTGCTACATATGCAATGATGTAGATATAAATATATTGAAACCCTTGTGTCACAGATTGCAAGCTTCTGTGCTCTTTCTTTTTGCAAAATTTAAGCTTTAATTATAATTTATTTTTATACCTGAGGTAATTTAACATCTAGATGTTAGTATAGGATTCAGATGTATTTGTTTTTTTTAATGAGTGTTGCTTTTAAGCATATTATAACATATCACACCTTGTTACATATTACTAGATCTCTGCAATGGTTTCAATATTGCAATAATTAATTAATAGTTCATTAGGTAGGAATGATATATTCTGAATATCATAATCTTGTTTGTTTGTTTTGGTTTTGCTATGTGTTTTTAAGATAGGGCATCCTGTAACCTAGTATATACTCAAGTTTCCTAAGAAGCTTAAAATTACATTACCTCTGTTTCTACTTTCAAATTGTTGGGATTAAAGAGCTGTGTTTCCATTACCAACATAATTTTTTAATTATTCAGTAGTATATTTCAGTATTTAGCAAATTTTTGGTAAGTAAAATTAGTTAACTGTTTATAAATTTCTTTTATTGATTGATATATGGGTCCCTTGAAAGTTGATACATATAAATTCTGGTGATATGTCATATTGTATTATGGACAAATATTACCTAATTGATTTTTTTTTTGAATTTTTTAGAGACAGGCTCTCTCCGTAGCTTTTGGTTCCTGTCCTGGAACTAGCTCTTGTAGACCAGGCTGGCCTCAAACTCACAGAGATCCACCTGCCTCTGCCTCCCAAGTGCTGGGATTAAAGGCGTGCGCCACCACCGCCTGGCTACCTAATTGATTTTGACACTGACTCTGAAACTTAAATGCAGCAAGTTTAACTTAATGGATTAGTGATATACATTATTCCTTCTTTTTTTGTTTGTTTAGTTTTCCTGAGACTGGGTTTCTCTGTAGCTTTGTAGGCTGTCTTGGAACTAGCTCTTGTAGACCAGGCTGGCCTTGAACTCACAGAGATCCACTTGCCTCTGAGATAAAAGGTGTGCACCACCATCACACAGTCTATTTTTATTCCTTCCTACCATCCGATTTTCCTTCCCTTCCCTTCCCTCCCCCCCCCTCTCTCTTTCCCTCTGTAAAAGTTTGAAAAAATATCTTTCAATCAAATGGATCTAAGAAGCAAGATGGTGTACCTATCGTAAGAACTACAAAACAAAGTAAATCAAAGAGATGGAGAAGGAAGTGTCATATTCATCACAAGAAATTCCATTAAAATGAAGTCTCTTTTGTGTTACATGGATTACATTGGCTTATCTAAAACTTCAAAAACAAAGGCTTTTTGTGTTCATTAATGTGTTTGTACCCATACACACTGGAAAGGAGGGATATAAAAATTGGACTACTAAAATTTTGAATTTAAATATATGCAGAATAAAAGAAGATCAAGTTACGTGGAAGGATGGAAGAATCTATCATGTGAACAAATTCAGTAGAAGTGGGTAGCTCAGAAACACAAATAACTTGATAAACTTAAACCACTCAAGATTTTTTTAGCACAGTCTATCTTGATTTTGACTTTATATTTAGCCAGATATATCTGTTTCTTCAGGGGTAGCCTGACCCTGGTTGCTATTTTGGCTATGTACACAGATCATCCTTCATGCAGCATTTCATTGTGGGAAATTAATTTGTTCATAAACCAGTAAGGCACACATGTTCATAAATCAACTGTATATTTGCTGCCAAAATATAATATATCTTGCTATATATTGTGCTAGCACATGCTCAAGGCACAAAAAACAATTTTAAAAATTGGTTTCAACAAAGTCCAACATTCTATTCATGAATATCATACTGCAATATAAGAAGGTAAAACAATACATAACCCCTTTCACACAGATTTCCAACTCTGAGAAATGTCGGATGTTAAAGTCCCACTTGTGTCAACCAACAATTATGCTGTTGGTAGTGGGAGAGAAAGGATTCAGCATGTGCTTCTGTTGATTTTTTTTATTTTACCACATCAAAACAAATAGCCTTTACTCCTTATTCGTCAAGGTAATGAGAAAACATATTTTTTTTGATAAGGCAAAAAAAAAAATGGTGAGTGTAGTAAATAAGTTGCCAAGTATGGACCCTGGTACCTGAATTTAAATCAAACCATATTTTAATAAATTTGATTGATATTACAGGTAGAAAAGAAAATGATGGACTTATAGTTCAGTGATCAGAGTGGTTAATAATTATTTTAAAATAAATAAAATAAATAGAAAAGAAAATGCATTTAACCAAAAAACCCAAACCACTTAAACTTAAACCACTCAAGAATTTTTTAGCACAGTCTATCTTGATTTTGACTTTATATTTAGCCAGATATATCTGTTTCTTCAGGGGTAGTGATGTGAACAAGAAAGTAACGTAAGGCTTTTAATATTCCTGGACCTGGATGGAGGGGGGAGGACCTTGAACTTCCCACAGTGCAGGGAATAGGGACTGCTCTTCAGACTCGAGAGGGAGGGGGAGTGGAGTAGGGGGAGGGGGAGAGGAGTGGGGAGAGGGGGAAAGGAGTGGGAGGAGGGGGAGGGAAATGGGAGGTGGGGAAGAGGCAGAATTTTTTTTCAACAAAAATAATAAAATAAAATAAAAAAATAAAAAAATATTCATTTTATGTTATGTGCTCATGTGTTTTGAAGGTATGTATGTTTGGGCACAATGTGTGTGAATTGCCCACCTTGGCCATAAAAGAGATTAGATCCCCTAGGATCGAGGTTACCGATGGTTCTGAGCCACTTGTGCATGCTGGGTATGGAACTTTTGTCTTCTCTTAGAGCAGTCAAGCCTCCTAACAACTGAGCCTTACCTCCAGCCTAATGGTTTTGCTTGAATAAATATTTTAGGTTTATTTCTTGTTTTGGGTTTGTGTGTATTTGGCTATAATTTGTGCAGGTGAATGAAATATGCCTCGAGGATGGAAGAGGGCATTGTATCCTTTGGGGTAAGAATTACAGACAGTTGTGAAATTCCAGTGCTGGAAACCGAACTAGTTCCTTTCCAAGAATAATGTGTGCTCTTAACTGATAAGTGTCAAACCAAAAAATTGGTTTTTTTCGTTAAATGCATTTTCTTTTTTTCTTTTCTTTTTTTATTAATTATTAATTAAATTTTTATAATTTATTAATTAAAGATTTCTGCCTCCTCCCCTCCACCGCCTCCCATTTCCCTCCCCCTCCCCCAAACAAGTCCCCCTCCCTCGTCAGCCCAAAGAGCAATCAGGGTTCCCTGCCCTGTGGGAAGTCCAAGGACCACCCACTTCCATCCAGGTCTAGTAAGGTGAGCATCCAAACTGCCTAGGCTCCCACAAAGCCAGTACGTGTAGTAGGATCAAAAACCCATTGCCATTGTTCTTGAGCTCTCAGTAGTCCTCATTGTCTGCTATGTTCAGCTAGTCCGGATTTATCCCATGCTTTTTCAGACCCGGGCCAGCTGGCCTTGGTGAGTTCCCGATAGAACATCCCCATTCTCTCAGTGTGTGGGTGCACCCCTCGCGGTCCTGGGTTCCTTGCTAGTGTCTCTCCATCTGCTCCTGATGTGGACCTTGAGCAAAATTTTAAACATAGCAAGATAAAAAGTAAAAGTGTTTTTTTTTTCCAATACAAAGCCACTGAATAAATAAATTCCTGACTTGAAATATCCACAGAGGAGAATATTTTTTCTCATATGTTTAGAGAAAGTGATGTGATTTCTTTACTACTTTACCATTGTTTTCCAAATCAATATTTCCTTATCACTGTACAAAGTAGTTATAACATTATGAGTGATGGATATTAAATTTACATAAAAGAAATCTGCTCTAATTCCAAGTAAT